TCATCTCTTCTCTGAAAGTAGAAGCTTTTTTCTCCCCCAAAGGGTTTTTTTTTTCATACACGCACATACACACTAACTGTAATAATACAATCTGAAAAGTCAAGGAAGAAATTACTTAACAAGGGTTACAAAACATATAAAGTGACCCGCAACCCCCCCCCCCAAGAAAACACCTCATGATCATCTTGGGGTCTTATCCCCCAGGCTTGGAAACACTGCTTTGGCCTAACAACCCACTTCATTGGTCACAGTTTTTCAGGCATTCATTCCCATGGCAATTTCAAATAATAGCATGTAGATGTAAAATTATACCCAAACCAAACAAATTAATCTTCATTGAGAAATATTTTAAAAGCATCTTGTTTCCTGGCAATCTCCAGCACCCTTTTATGTCTCTCTGTGTTTTTTTTAAATAGAATCTGTTTTCTCTAATATTGTAAGCAAAATAAATGCCACATATGAGCCACGAGCAATGTATACACCTTCTCAAGAGCATGACGAGAAATCTGCAAATGAAGTTTCTAAGGAAAGGTAAGGCTACAAACCTGAAGGTTTCCTCTCTTACAGATATTGTATAGCTTTGTGTCATTCATCCATCTGTCTAAAATGTACAGTACTTGTATTTAGTAAATGTGTTGGCAAAGTTAGAATCCTCACTTCATTGGTTACTTCATATCTAGGTAGTGTTTCCTTGGATGCCAGAAAAGGATCAGAACCTGGATCCAATAGCGTTTTGTTTGTTTGTGAATTGGTCTTCATTCCTCTTAATTTCCTCCTGAATTTGAACACCTGGACTGTAAGAGTCAAAGAGTTAGAAAAAGAATTAATCACACATGGTAGAGACCCATTGAAATCAGTGTGAATTAAGCTACTTATGACTAATTTACATTCCATTGATTTCTATGTGCCTCCTTTAAAGATTTCTCATCTGAATCCAGTCCTGTATTTAAAGATGAGCTGTGGTTTTAATTTAGAAGATACAGCAAACAGAAGATTTTATAAATAATGGTGTTCAGATGTGACAAACACTATTACATAGTTTGAAACTCGTATACCCATTCCTCAAAACAGCCTCACTGGAAAGTGATAGTTGTTGAGTTAGTTGGAAAAGAAATGCTCATGAAGAGTTTTTGTTTTACAAGATATAATTGTGAGCCAGTAGATGGCACTCCATTTCTCTCCTTAGTGTTATGATTTATGTTATTACACTATTGGTATATTGAAATGCTGTTTCAGATAGCAAACCAAACTCAGGCTGAAGTACAGGAATATAACATAACATAACATAACATAACATAACATATTACAGAGTAAAGTAAAATATAAGACAGAAATTAATCAGCTTCTGCCACATTATAGTCATAAAGGAAACTGTTGTCTTAGAAGCAGACAAAGAATTTTAAAGATGAAAGAGGTGCCATTGAGATACCATGGTTCATAAAGTGCTCACACATTTATAAACATTTTAAAATTAAATTTAAAGAAAAAAAAATCCTATTCATTGGCAAAAACATGAAGGACCAGAGAAAATTTGGGAAGAAGAGCCTAATATCATAATATCTGGGTGACTGGATGTTACATATATATTTCCTCAGTGCTAGACCCAAATTGATTACTTTGTTTTACTTCAGAAATGAGATATTATGTATGATTACAGATTGATGAATTGCACCTTTGTGCTATATCCACTTTTAGGTCTTCACAAACTGAACAAAACCTGCTTGCAGTTGTGATACCGATTATTGTTATACTACTAGTTCTTGCTGGCATTGCTATTACAGTGCTTATTAAAATAAAGCAGTGGAGGAAGAATGGTAAGTGAAACTGTTAATACTCTTGTACATTTCAGAATAGGAATAAATTGGCAAAGGATAATCCTCATTTATAGTAAAACCACAATTTGCCGTAACACAAAGGTTGACTGGTGCTTGTATTTACAATAAGTGTCTGACTTGAAGATTTAGAATAAAGGCTAGATTCCTGTTACGGGAACATGAAACAGAGAGACAATTACACAAATGGTTCCCACTTCAGGAAATTTGCAAGGTGATGGTCATTCTCTATGACATTCTGATGCCAAGCCAGAACTAACAATGGAATTTATCCTACAAACAAACTGGATATTCACAATTATCTACAAACTGACACTAGATGTTCTATGAAGTCATTGCCAGTCAATGGTGGTACAGTTGCATTTGAGACCAGCTACAGTGGTGCCCCGCATAGCGACGATAATCCGTTCCGAAAAAATCGTCGCTATACAGATTCGTTGCTGTGCGGGGCAAAAAAACCCATAGGAATGCATTAAAACACGTTTAATGTGTTCCTATGGGGGGGGGAACTCACCTTTAAGTGAAAATCCTCCATCCTGCCGCCATTTTAGGTGCCTCTAAATCGAGGCAACACAGCGGGTGGCCATTTTGGAACCGCTGATCAGCTGTGCTTTGGCGCTCTCTCTCTCTCTCTCTCCCCTTGCAGGTCCAGCCTGGGCAGGGTGACTGAGTCTCCCTGCTCAGGCTGGAGTTGTGAGGGGAGAGAGAGGGGGGGTTGCAAAGCTGGCTTCCCCGTGATCTTTGCAAACACCCGCCCATCAGCTGTGTTTACTCTCTTTGGAGGGGGCCTTTGGAATGATCATGGGGAAGCGCTTCCCCACAATCATCGCAAAGCGATTTCCCCCACTTAAAACATCGCAATGTGATTGCTTTTGCGATCACAAAAACTCCACTGCTATGCGGATTCATCGTTAAAGGGGGCGCTCGTTAAGTGAGGCACCACTGTATTTCTAAACTATCTTCAAGAGCAGCTCTACACACGACATTAAGAACATAATCTGATTTAGAAGGTACAAAGGTTTGTGATAGTTGGAAGATCTCCCTTTTCCAGAAGAGCCGGCAGAGGGCAAATCTGTCAAAAATGGAAAGAAAGGGCATTTGGCCAAAATCCAGCAGTCAACGCATAAGGTCAGAGCCAGATGTGCTCTCCTAGTCTGTATCTCTCATTCATAAATCAGAAAATATTCTGATTTAGAGATAACAAGGCATTAATCTCCAGTGATATCAAGATAAATTTGGAAGTGCAGGTACTGATCATGATGGCCCAAAGAGCCAGCACTCCCCCATGCCAAGTTGCAGATAACTGTATCAGCAACTGAGGAAAGGATTTTTTTTTTGCCCACTCAGAATAAAGTTGCTAGCCAATACTTTGCATTATGACAGAAATAGCTTGTAATAGTATACTGTTCCAAAGCAAATTGATTTCACTCCTAATTACTGTGAATTGCAGCTAAACTCAAAGGGAGTAGCAAACCTGATATGTGTATATGTATCCCTGCTGCTCAAAAAGTCCTGGGACTTTGACCCTGTAAGATCTGGCAGCATTACTCCACTGTTTATCTTCTGGTCAGCCATGTTCCCTGCCTTCAGCTTGTGGTCTGCCTTACCAGGAAATGGCCTAAATCTTTCCATAGTGTTTTGTGTAAGAAGGTAAACAGCAACCTTGAGTTATGTTCATTGTATCAAGAGGCAATGTACAAACAAGGAAGTCATTCATGAAGTATCTGTTCCATCTGATGTGTATTTACTTAAGATCTGTACTGCTCTCTCTAAACACTCTTGGGGCTGTTAGTATCATTTAAACTGACAGCCAAATATGACTTTTTTGTGCTGTGGGATGTTGTTAGTTTCCCTTTGCCCGCCCAGCCTGGAATAAAGAGACATGTAACATAGGGTAACTGGACCACAGTTTTATTATTTTTTATTAAACTTTAGTTCCCCTTTCACATGGTGCAGTTCTGGTCTGTGGCCAGAGTCACATTTGACGTTCTGGTCCAGACCCTTGCTTAAGTGAATTCCTATTCCGGAAGCGTGCTGTCCTACCTTATAGCACACCCCTCGGGATAATGTAACCGGAATACCCTGCTTCCCCTCCCCTCAGCTAACTTCTGCTAATTCCAACCTGAGAGGAGGGGTGCTTGGCACCCCCTGCTTGCCCACTTTAGAATTCACCTGAACCTATCCCTTATGCACTACCTGCCGTTGTGGCCTATTTAAATTCAACCTCTCATTAACATGCCAACACCGTCCTCATCCTCACAAGTAAGAATGGAATGGGCAAAAAACCACTTGCACCTAGGTCCAATGAGGTACAAGCCAAAAATTCCCATCCGGCTCCGAAGCGACCAGCTAATCTCATTCTTACTATTAGGGTGGGTGGATGGACAATCCAAAGAAGTGAAGAGGCTGGAGCTGGACTGGGGAGCCTTCTTAAGGCTTCTGATCTCACCCTACTTTGCCAACCTCGTGATGTCTCCTCTCTTCCAGCCAAGCGGGCAAAATAGCCCCGCGTCAAGAGCTGCACGCCTTGTGGAGAGGCCATTTCTCTTTAACTCCAATGACCAAGTTACCAAACAAAGTGGTTGAAAACAATGCCTAGAATTACATTTTATATAAACAAAGTGAATAGCTGTGAAGATAAGAGGCATCCTTGGGGCACATTCAGGTTGACTGCGGAATGCTTTGGATCTGCTGGATCCCAATCACTTGTATTCTTGCAACATACTCCCAGGACAGGAGAAACATGACACCAGATCTGGAGCTAGCATTTTCTCTCTCTCCAGACTCCACAAACACCCCTACTACCATGACCAAAGTTGGACAACCTGATTGATAGTTATCTAATATAATGATGGAACAATTAGATAATTGATAGTTATCTAATATAATTATGGTCTATGAAATTACAGGCATACCTCAGTTTGCGAACACCTCCATTTATGTATTTTTTGGTTTACGAACCGAAATCCATAAGAAATAATGCCTCAGTTTACATTGTTTTCCTTCCCCCCCCCCCAACAGTATGAAAAGGTTTTCCCAGGGTACATTGCACCTATAGCCCCACCCCTTTCGTAGCACAATTGGCATTTCGGTTTGTGAAATTTCCATATTACGTAATTCGCAAACTGAGGTATGCCTGTACCTCTGTGCTATATAAAAGTAAAATGAAGGATTTGTTTTTGTTTTCCAAAGACTCGTATGATGTTCCTGTAAAAGACCCTGAAGGACAAATGCCACTAAATAACCCAAAGAGTTCAGAGGAACAATCCAAGGAGCAAAATAGAACTTCAGTCATTGAAAAAGAGTCTGCCGTAGGATCTGATAATGGTACAGTTTTTTTTCACCATCCATGACTTCAGTGCTTTTGATAGGTTCACATACATAGCAATAACTCCCATGTGGTAATGATTCTTTCAAAACAACATACTCTTGAACTGTATTGGAAAATAAGGGAGTTTCTATTGTGATAATTTTGGTAGTATTTAACATTATTGAGTGGTAAATCTTCCTTCCTTCCTTTCACCTACCTGCACTTCTTTTTCTCCTTTTTCTTCCTCACATCACTATCATCTTCTTCTTCTCCATTATTAGTCATTTTAAAACTCTGTAAATAGCAACCTTTTTCATTATGTACTGAAAAAGCTATAGTATGGCAGTATTGTTTTGTATCTTACATTTATTTAAAGCATGAGGAGCCAATGTTTAGAAATTATCTAGTGTTGGGCACAGAGTTATTGAGAATATTATCCTATTCCACTATCAAAGCTTTCCATGGAATAGTCATTATGCCTGAATCTTTGTAGGGCTAAGAGAGTGGCAGAGATAGGGTTGAGCATGTAAGCCCCACCTTGCCACCAACCCCACCTTGAACTTTCGGGACTTCCAATGTGTAATGAAGGGTCTACGACTGAGTCTGCAAGTGCATTCAGCTGAATGTGTTTACAGTACTTCATTGATTGAGCCTAATCCATCTAAGCTCCTAGTTCTAGAACTGCTGTAAGCATGTTCTGCAGAACATGCTTGTGGGGCATTATTACAGACTTTTGTGTTAAACATCCGCAGCTCTGCCTTCCTTCCAGATGGAGGGATAAGCAGACATGTGTGTGTCCTCATTGCCCTTTTAGCATAATGCCTGAGTAGCTTGTATTGTTTAAAATGTAAAGCTTAAAAGAAAAGAAAAGAAAATGGAGGCAAATTTGT